CAACTAATACTGTATTCTGTACAGTGCATAAATCAATAATCATGTTTTGGAGGGATGATATGAAATTTCTTTATAATGTAATAAGCATGTCATACTTTTACAAAAAAATTATGTAGTATTTTAAATAAATTTGGATGTTTGAAAATATATACTGCATACAGCTATGATATATTGAATTGTACAAAAACCAGCGTTGAATGTGATGAAATGGCAGTTTCTTGTAGGGTACTTGGTGGCTCCCTGTTTCTTGTAACCTGGATAGCACCATTCAAATCCAATCACACCAGGTGAGTCATTGTAAACTCTAACAGAGACCCACTCTATAGAGGTGCAGGGAGTTGAGCATACTAGATCACTCGGACCAAGAAAAGGCCTCCAAAAAAGTACTGTAGAATGAAACAAAACAGAGAGACGTTCGGTAAACACAACATAGAAAATGAGACCCTGAAACAATCCACCTGATCATTAGGCAGTGAATCCGCTAGAAGCGGCTGCCCACCAGATGGCCGCGCACCCAGCCACTTGATCTACCCGGCCATCTTGCCAATTATTCATCAGGAAGATGAAAACTGAAGCCCCGGAAGGAGAAGGGAGGATCCAGGGAGCCACCAAGGACCCACCAGAAGGAGGCATTTTATTCCATTCAATGCATAGTTTTCTGAGAAGGCTTCTTGTGGTGGCTCCCTGTTGCTATCTTACCACGGAGAAGAAAACATAAGGGGGAACTCACCGGAGGCAGAGGAGAGCAGATGCCAGTAACCTCCAAAGAAGAGGGAATCAGTAACAGGTCACTCTACCGAAAGCCACAGAAGCCCGGCACGGATCTGGAACATTGATAAAGTACTGAGAAACTAGCACTGTTGGACTGCCAAACCTCTTGAGCATGAATATCAGCCCAAGATATGTTAGAGAACACTGCAAGCAGAACTCAAATTTGCAAACATCAGAGGCCCGAGGGTAAACCTCAGGCTGGCTAAATTGGATGACACTGTGGACAACCTCAGATAAACAGGCCCTGGAAAAAGGACTAGGAATACAGGGTCCACAAAGTGACCCCCATGCACCACTAGTGGTGCAGAGGGAATGATGAATGGCCATAACCAGACCCAATAAATGATGCACACACACCTGGTTGAACCAACCAGGCATCAACCACCAACCCAGTGGGTATTTTTGTTGTGTTAACGTCTATCTGACATCCACTGATGACAGTTGAAGTTAAAACAGAAGCTACACTGCAAAAAGAGAGCATGAAGCTCCTAAAGTCAACAAATGGAAGTTATGGGACAACAAAAATAAAGACAAAGAAGAGCCATGGACTGAAGGGGTGACAGCAAAACAAGAAAACAAAAGAAAAACGAAAATCCCCTCACCAGAGACCAAGAAGGCTTTGAGAATTAAAAAAAACTCACAAGACATGGTGTGTGAAACTATGCCAATGAAAAGTCAATACCGAACACCAACATAACAAAAAGAGCCAACACCATCCAAGACTCCAGGAACCCGGAAAGGAGCAGGAGGAAGACAGCAAAGCCACACACAGTAGCATGCACAAACAACTAGAGTCCAGTGGAAGGTAAACCGAGGAACAGGCAGAGCCTCACTGGACTGTGTTAGCCCCCACTCTGCCCCATCCAATACGGCAATGCTAGGTCGAGAAGAGAGAGAAGGAGAGAAGAATATTAACCAAGACCCTCCCACCAAGCAGTGTGGAGAGAACAAACAAAATATAGATTCAGGAACTGAAGCAGAAGAGAACTGCATGAGCGAAGGAATATATCCCAATGAAAGCACAATGAAAGTGAAGTGGCGGAAGTCTCATTTGGTTCTGTCCCAGGTTCAGACTGGCTGGGTCCTGTTTGGGACTTTCGGACCGCTTCCATGTCTCTTCCTTAAGAGGTGTTGCTGCAGCTGCAGGCCCACCTTTAACTGTTTCTGGTGGTGGTGGGGGGGGGGGGGGGGGGGGGGGTCCCCAGGTCACTCGGCAGTTGCTTGGGCAGTTGTGCGGGAGTTTGAACTTCGCCATGCTGGTTTACCCTCTGGGTTGGGTTTGGCTTTGGAGTCTGTTCTGGTTCCTTCGGGATGCCCCCTCCGGCTCTCTCTCGCAATTACTGGGTTCAGCCTCCGGAGGCCTTGCGTCAGATGCTGCGTCGTCGGCTTTCCCTACGAGTTTTTTGGGGTTGAGTGCCTTGGCGCCTACCCGAGCCCTCGCTCGATGTATTCATAGACACGTTATCACTCGGCTGGAGCTTTGTGATCAGTGCTCACTCGACCGGCCAAGGGTGGTGGGGTCTGTCCTTCCATCAGGCTCACAGCACGGTGCGGGAGTTTGTGCCTTTGTGGTGGTCTGGCTGTCTCGCTTCGAAGGGTTCGGGTCGCTCGAGGTTCGACCATCCGGCTCCATTCGGACTGTTCTCTGGTGGTTCATTGCCTGAACCGCAGGGGTTCCCTTTGGTCCTTGCCTCTTTGGGGCTGGTCGCTTCGAGTGGCTCGTCTGCTGGTTTTTTGGGGGTTTGGCTCTCAGTACGGTTTATATCCTGGGAGTGTCCAACGTCCTAGCGGATGGCCTGTCTCAGTTCATTCCCCTATCCCCGGTATGGACGGTCGATGCCGACTCCTTCAGTTTGCTCTGCCGGACATACTGGCTCCCGGAGGTGGACCTCTTCGTGTCAGCATGGTCTCGGTGCCCTTTCCCGACTGCGGAGCCTTTGCAGTGGACGCCTTTCGGCACACACATCAGTTGTGGAACTCTGCTCCACTTAGGTGTGAGAGAATGGTCACTCAGGTTTTCCAAAGATGACTTAAAGTGTCAAATTTGCAGAGCAACTGCAGTGCACAAAGTTGGAAAATCTACTTAATAACAATAATACTTTATAATAATAATAATAATAATAGTAATATTTTATTTAAAAAAAATACATACAGTACATATATAGGATACAAGAATAGTACAGTATAGGATTCCTAAGTAAGCAAGGTACAATGCCAAAGCAACTTATAAACAGAGCATTTTAGGCATAATGTGAAAAAAGGTGAATACAGAAGGTCAATGGGGAGTAATTTAAGACTAAATGGGATCAGAAACATCAATATACCTGAGGGCCACTAACACACTAGTGCCTTGACAGGGACAGGAAGCTGGGAGCTTGTCAAAGGTCCCCCAGTTTCTCCTGATGATTTTTTTTCTAGCTGGATTTAAAAAATTAACAGAGTTTTGGAACTTGTGGTCGGTCTCAAGCCCATTGTTGACGTGACGATGTGTATTGAATTTTGTAACTAGCTTCTTAAGACTTTATTGTCTTAAGATATTTAGTTTACAGTCTTATCAACACTGGCTCGTTTGCGATTCATAATTGGGGATCCCGGGTGAGACAGAAATTGTTGGGCATGTTTCCTTTCACTTAATGCCTTTGTTCACTAAGCAGTAAATAGGGACCCTGGAGTCAGTCAACTGTTGTGGGGTTGCATCCTAGGGAAGGTCAGTAGTACGACCTTGGGGGTCATCAATATAAGCTCATAGTATATAACAAACAAATTATTGTGTTACCTCCTATTGTGCCCTTTACAATTAGGACCATTCATGGTCCTAATTGTAAAAGGCAGGTCCTATCTGTAAAATTAATAAATAAACTTTATCCTAAAATATATTACAAATATGTGGTTGGGATAAGAATGAAATGCTGATTTATATACAGAAACTCACTTTGTTCCCATAGGAGAGACAAGGAAGAGCTCGGTATCTCCACGCCTGGTTGCATTGAGGGTAATGACGGCTTGAACATGCTCAAGGAAATTCAATTCAGTGTCTGTGCCTGCACATGCATCCGTTTCCATTTCCAGCACAACTGACTTATTGACAGATATCATTCTGCGAAGGAACAAAATAATAATATTTATAATGAGAAAATCCGTAGGAGCCGTTATGAGGGTTTGAACCTATGCTGTGGGTAGTCCCACGTGCACACGCCCTAGTCTACTAGGCCACGACCCTGACCATGTCATGGTGTAGTTGACAAGGGCGTGTGTGTGGGAACACCCACTGCATAGGTTCGAACCCTCATCATGGCCAATATTAAATGCCAATGTTTAGGTAAAACACCAGGATTCATTCATGGTTCAATAAGTGTTTATTATAAATACACATTTTTATATGTGTATTATAATAATATATTTCATGGCTAATGTAAGCCCAAGTTAAATAAGTATGTAAGGAAAGCATGAGTCTGATACATTAAGTGAAAATTATTAACCTATAAGCTAGAATATTCACATTACAGTAATTTTTATTTGGAAATTACACTTCAGTAATCATCTGAGTTATCACTGATACTCTGACCTGTATATTAAATATAATATGCAATATGAGATGCAAGATCAGTCTTGTAACTAATTTGAAAAGATCTTTTGTTAAGAAGGGTCTGCTCTTAAATTCTACTGGATACATGTATCTTTATTTGTTTATTATTATTATAATTGATAATAAACAAGAACATAAGTGATTAAATTGTGTGAAAATTTGTTACCCTTAAGATCAGAATTTCTTGTCTGATCTTACTACTGGTACTGAATGTGTGCCTTTGTACTGAAATGTGCATGCTTATAATGCATGTTAGGGTGTGAGTGTAGAAACAGAATATATTGTACTGCATAATTATGAAAGTTTAATCAAAATGGTGCCCCAGACAGATGACAGGGCAGATATGCTAATAACTTAATTAACACTTAAAGTGGTGTGCATGAGTTTTTAGAAAAAGGTTCTGTTATATTTCAGCTGAAAGCATAAAAAAAGCAAACATTACAAGTTTCAGAAAGAGGACTAACTTGGGTATGCGGTAGATGCCAGCCTGGCAGTGATAGCGAGGAGGGACGGTAACCCAGTCTCGGGCCAGAGCCACCATGGCACCGGCATCCAACACTCCAAACCCAAATAGATGGTTATATTCGAGACCAACCCCATTCATATGCCAGGAGAATCTGCGCTTAGCATCATACAGCGAGTTGCGTTTACTGGTGAGGACTGTCAGGTGCTGGATGTCTCGCCACGTCAAGTTGGGGCTTGGGAAAGAAAAATAATTGTGATAATTTCAGTTAAAAAGCTAACTAGCAACGCTTATTTTCAACCACATAGTTATTTACTCAGAAAACCGACGGCTTGTCAAATGTCCCCCCATTTGCCCTAATGATTTTTTCCAGCTGGATTTTAAGGTGGTTGATTAACTGGTTTATCAGGGAGGTCCATTATGGATTCAGTTTGATTCTATGCATGGGCATATTGAACTTTTTCTGCCCTGTAATAGGTGTTGATGGGTGTAGTGGTAGCTGTGAATGGTTTTATGTATGATACATTCTGTTTGTTCCAGTACCATGCACTCCCCCCTGTCTGGATGGACATGCCAGCATGTTGGGCAAAAATGACATTTTCCCTTCCTAAGTAAATTTAGGCATTTTCTAAGATGATGGTGACTGCAATCAATTTCCTTTCTATTTCTGTATTTGTATAGCCTGATATTGGCATAAGTTCACCTTTTTGGATGTATTGAGTCAATGTTTACACTTTCCTGGTCTTGTAATTCTTGTATTGCTTCAATTTCGACAGCTTCGGATCCTATGCTAATACTGTAATGTTTTTCCTACCCACTCTGCCTGGTTTGTTGGCAGGTTTTAAATGAAAGTCGTTTTACGGTCATGTGGCATGACATCTAAGAGAACTTTTAAGAAGTTCCAGTCACGCAAATCATCATTGCATACCTGAAATTAATAACCATCCCACAGTCCTTTATTACTATCACTTAATTGAAGACAAGAAAAGTGAAACATGCTTTACATTCATAACAAGTAATTCATTTCAACACTTCAGATAATTTCCTATTAAGGTACATCAAACAAATTGTAACTTCATTGTGCCACCAATTGAGTGATGAATACAAAATGCTGTACTTCTTGCATTTACAAAAATTATTTAAACAATACTGTGAAAGATGTCTCACAAAATATGGTAAAATATTATCTTAAAGACAATGATGGAGCTCACAACCTTCAAAGGATTTTAATAAACAGGTAGTTTCTCAGAAATTTAATTTCTATGGTTTTTCAATAAATTACAATAATAATTACTTACTTAGCTTCCAGAGCAAGAGCAAAGACTCCTGCAGCTTCTGGTGCAGCTGCAGAAGTACCAGAATGAGTTTTCGTGCACTTGCCATACAGATCCGTGGTAGCCTAAGAAGGAAAGGCAATATACCATCAAGTTTATATTTAATTATTTACTAGGTTAGGGGATAATCTAAATTCAAAATGCTGTACCAAAGTGTAGGTAGCAAAAATGACCATGCAATATTAGAAACAGATTATGTGGTAAACTATGATATCTAATTGTGTTTCATTGAGCAGTAAGAGAATAAAAGTAGCCTTTTAGAGGTCTCTGGGACATCTCTCTATCCCATGTATATAATGACCTCAAAAAATCTGCAACATAATAAAACAGAAGCCTCAGAAATTCAACAAGATCTTCAAAAATAACTCATTTAATGCAAGGGTTGCGCTCCTGGAAACTAAGCCTGGACCACTATCAGGTGGCGGTCATGTATATTTTGATAATTGCTCATTTTTTCCTCATTTTAGTTTCTATTTTTCAAGCAATATCTTATGACCTGTCAAACCATTCCGTTTGGTTTCCTCAGTTTTGGGCAGATCTCTGATCCCTGTGCTATATCTTCATGAAAAACAGCCGATGGTAAAAGGACCTACATTATCCTTACTTCTAGGAGAGCTTTCTGGGAAGGCTTCTCCGATGACTCCCTGTGGGTCTACATATATAATGTGCAGTATTACCAGTTATTTATTAGTCATAAAAATCCTACCGGAGGCCAAAACCTGGTTCCCGCACAGAGGTACAAGTAGTAAGGGATGCTAGATTACCCTAACAAAGAAAATGAGTCATAAGATAGATAATGAAAAACAACACAAATAACACAAAGGCTAATATGAATACTCTGACACTTAGGAACACGTTCGTTATATCATTCAGACGTCTGTCATCCTCTATTACTCATCATCCCCCCCCCTTGTTGCCAAGTGGCAGCCCCAGGAACTCTTGATCCAACATGGGGTCACCCCATCAGTTATTAACTTGGTGCAACACTGCTCACATCTGTTTTTAATGTCCTCTTAGCCTTTCAGGTCCCAGTTTTCCAGATAAGTGTTGGCCATCCTTTGAACTGTGCCCTGCTCTGTCTTGTATGTGTTCCAGTTTTTAGTGTTAACTTTAGTGTTTGCTTCAAATAAATACAAACTCCCATGGTGTGTTTATTTGCCTCACTTATTGTGTGGCTTTAAGTTCAGGGGTGTTCTTTATTCGTTGGTGTTCCTTATTCGTTGTTGTTGCCCCTGCCTTCCCTGGAGGGTTCAGGTGTCTATCCCTGAGAGGTCAGCCTCCTGTTGAGGGGGCCTCCTACCCTACTAAATAGAACAAGGATATTTGACTTCTCTCCATGGTTTTATGGAGAGGGCAGTTGGGGTTCTATTTGTTTATGGTGTGTAATTACCTAAATGTAGTTACAGGACAGCTATACTCATGGTGTCCCGTCTTCCCAGTACTCTTTGTTATATAATGCTTTGAAAGTACTGACGGTTTTGGCTGCCACTTCCTTCTCACTTAATTTGTTCCAACCATCTACCATTCTGTTTTCAAAAGTGAATTTTCTTATATTTTTTCAGTAGCTTTGTTTAGTTAGATTAAATCTATTTCTTGCTCTTAAAGTACCAGGTCTCAGGAATTATTCCCTATCAAGTTTTCAATTTTCTCCCATTCCACATTCTATAACATGGCATTTATTCACATTAAATTCCATTTGCCAAATGGTGCTCCATACACTTATTTTGTCCAGGTCTTCTTGAAGGGCATGACAATCATCTGTTGTTTATTTGTTTATAATTCAATGTTGGTGCACAGCTGATAAAATATTCCTTCTTACTAGACTGTAGTCATGTACTTAAGTTGGCATGCAGAATATAGCTATAGTGGCTTGACAACTTGATTTTGATATTTACTTGCTTAACGTAGAGTGCAAAAGCAATTAATAGTTGCAGGGAGTGAAGTGAGCAATTGGACAACTATATAATGGAAGATTCCGAATAAGTGGAGGATATGTAGTATAGGAATATTCAGGAAAAATGAGCGGATGCTGATGTCGGAGTTTCAAGAAACAATGGAAGGAATGAAAATTTTACGGGTGCTAATAAATAATCAATAAATGAATAATGAATAAATCTGTAACATTGAACAAATGTTGACATTGTTATGTCAAATTTGTCTGTGACATTGATGTCTGTAACATTTGTCTGTAACTAACAAATGTCTGTAACATTGTTAGCAGTGTATAGGACAGGTATAAAGTATAAAATAATCACAAGTGGAGACTAACCACACCAGTGCTGGGATCCTTGGCACCATTGCTGAAGGTCGAGGCCAGCGTGGAGGAGCAGGACTCGTCGTAATGAGCGTTTGAACCATCATTGATGGCAGAGTTGATGGAGATGGTCCACATGGAGGCTGCATAACCATCACAGTTGCAGTCATCATCCTCGCCACCGTCCCCGCTAGCCCACACATAGATGTTGCCTAACCCATTACGACCCTGCAACAGATGACCGAGGTAAATCATCATAATATAAATGGATATGTGAATAGATACAGATAGCTATGATGATGATAATAATATTAAAAAATAGCGTTGAATGTAATGAAAATTTTCTGGATGAGCCCCGGAGGCTCCCTAAAGCTATCAAACTGACACGTGTCATATTAGTTTGGTGCTTTTAGTCCTCGGAGCTCTAGTGCCTACCAGGGGCCACGAGCCAGAACCTGGCCCCCTCAGAGAGGCACAGGGAGCAATGACCATATAAGCACTCTACATTTAGATTTTGTCATGTCTGCCATTGACCGGGGAAGGCACCAAGAAAGGAAGGTATAATACAATACAATACAATTTTATTTAGGTAAGGTACATACATACAATAAATATTTACAAGGATTGTTTGACTTATAGGTAGAGCTAGTACATACAATGCCTAAAGCCACTATTACGCAAAGCGTTTCGGGCATGATAAACTTAAATGACAAGCTTAATACTAATTGAGCATAATGAGTAGAATGAAAACAAGAAATGAAAACATAGATGAAAAAGCAGCACAAATACAATTATGTCGACAAACAGCGCTCTTTAAAGAAAAAAACAGACATTGGTTGACAATAGAAGGGTAAGGTAGGTTACAGGGAATTTATTAGGTATAGCTTCGCTTTTAACTTAAACTGGTTGAGAGAGGTACAGTCTTTAACATGGTTGGGAAGGTCATTCCACATTCTGGGCCCCTTGATTTGTAGAGCATTTCTAGTTTGATTAAGTCGTACTCTAGGAATATCAAAACTGTATTTATTTCTGGTGTGATGCTCATGGGTTCTGATACAACCTTCTATGAAGCTTTTGAGATCAGGATTGGCATTATAGTTTAGCGTTTTATATATGTATAATACACATGAGAGAATGTGCAGTGACTTAATGTCTAACATATTCAGAGATTTAAGTAGGGGTACCGAGTGATGTCTGGGGCCAGAATTGGATATTGTCCTAATAGCAGCTTTGTGTTGAGTAATTAGAGGATGTAAGTGATTTTGGGTAGTAGAGCCCCAAGCACAAATACCATAGTTGAGATATGGATAGATAAGGGAGTAATAGAGAGTCACCAGGGCAGGGCGTGATACATAATATCTGATCTTAGAAAGAATGCCCACAGTTTTTGAAACTTTTTTTGATATGTTTAGAATGTGTCCCTGGAAATTAAGCTTGTGGTCAATGAGAATGCCAAGGAATTTGCCATCTAATTTGTTACAAATTTGGGTATTGTTTATTTTGAGATTTATTTGATTAGAGACTTTATTGCCAAACAGAATATAAAAGGTTTTGTCACCTTTGTTAAGGGTGAGTTTGTCACCTTTGTTAAGGGTGAGTTTGTTGGCAGTTAGCCACAGATGGACTTTATTTAGCTCAGTATTTACTGTGGTATTTAGAGCAAGGGGATCAGGACTGGAGTAAATGAAGGTTGTGTCGTCAGCAAATAGAATTGGTTTGAGGTGTTGGGAGGCATTTGGAAGGTCATTAATGTAGATGAGAAAGAGGAGAGGGCCAAGTATGCTGCCCTGGGGAACACCAATGTTGATGGGTAGGGTGGGAGAAATTGTATTATTCACAGAAACATATTGGAGCCTGTCAGTAAGGTAGGATTTGAGGTATTGTAGGGAGTGTCCTCTGACTCCATAATGATGTAATTTAAGAAGAAGGTTTTGGTGGTTGACAGTGTCAAAAGCTTTACGCAGGTCCACAAACAACCCAACAGGGAACTCATTTTTATCAAGAGCTGTATGAATTGAGTTAAGCATACTAATAAGTGCATCGTTAGTGCTTTTTTTGGGTCTGAAGCCATATTGGCAAGGGCTAAGTATATTGAGTTTGGCTAGATATGAGTAAAGCTGCTTATAGATTAGTTTTTCAAAAATTTTTGACAAGTTTGGCAGGATAGATATAGGTCTGTAGTTGTTAACATCTGTGAGATTACCACATTTGTGGACAGGCGTTACTCTCGCTTTTTTTAGAATATCTGGGAAGGTTTGGAGTTCAAGTGACTTGTTGAAGAGCAAAGCAATAGCAGGGGCTAAAGATCTGGAGGCTTTTTTGTAAATTAAAGTTGGTATCTCCTCAAGGGCACCAGACTTGGTTTTAGGGGAAAGGATTATCTCATTGACGTCAGTGGAATTAATAGGCTTTAGGTACAGAGACTGTGGATAGTTACCTGAAAGATAGTCATTAATGTCTGTACTGGAAGATGGAATATCATTTGCAAGGGATGAACCAATGGAAGAGAAGAACCTATTGAACTCAATAGCAGAATCAGAGGCTGAAAGCTGACCATCGTTATTAGACAGGAGAGTCGGTTTGTTATTTAAAGACTTCTTTGATCCCAATATTTGAGAAATTGTTCTCCAAGTTTGTTTAATGTTGCTCTTTATTTGGGTAAATTTATCTTCGTAGTATTTAGTTTTGGCTCGTCTAATTATCTTAGACAGCAATAATGAGTAATTCTTTGAGAATTCTTTGGAGACAATTCCTAACCTATACTTCTTCTCAAGCTTCTCTTCTTCTCTATACTTCTTCTTCTTCTCAGGTGAACCAATACAAACCTCTAACTGGTTAAAATTGCAACCTACATCTGAACTCTCTCCAAAAAGAAAACAATGAAACTAGTACATCGTAATTCAACTAGCGTCACCCCTCCCCAGACAGGGGGGGGAGGGAGACAGGAAGCCGACGGCTTGTCAAAGGTCCTCTCTCCTTCCCCCCCCCCCTATTTGCACTTTTTTACAACTATATTTTAAAATTTAACAGTCTTGGCATTTACGGCTTCTGCGGGTAGGCGATTCCATGGGTTTATAACCCTGTGGGTGAAAAAATATCTATTCGCAGTCCTGGATTGTGGCTTGTTGAACCTCAATCCCCTGCTCCTTGTTTGTTTTAGAGCTGTCCCTTTGAACAAACTGTTTGGATCAACATCCCTCAAACTGTTCAGTGTTTTAAAGGTTTCGATGTGATCCGCCCTGTTATGACTGGTTTGCAGTACTGTTGGCCCTGTGGCCTTCAATTGTTGCTGGTAGAGAGTTGACTTAGTTCTGGAAAGATATTGGTCGCCCGATGTTGTACTTTTTCCAAAGCATCTGTGTCCTTCAGAAGATGAGGTCTCCATGCTTTGATACAATAATCCAAGTAGATTATCTCTGGTGCGGGGCGGGTGCGGCCCCCCCACCAGAGATTACCGCTAAATATTTACTACTAGGTAAACAGACACATCTGTTGTAAAGAAACATGCCGCAAAATACTCGGGAATCGAACATTAAACCAAATCAGTTGTGAGTAGACTGTGGTAGTGGTACCACAGTCATCTCACAATGTATCTGTGGTAGTGACCACCGCGCTAGCAAGATAAAATGATTTGAAATAGCAAATTAATCTTCCTGGGACAAGGACAATCTCAGAGATTGAATTTGCTTTCATTTTATGCAAATACACTGGTAAGGGTCGTCAGTTTGGCCACATATGTCGAAATAGCTTTACATATTGACAAGGAATCATGTAAAAGTGGATTTATGAATCATAATTCCATAATTTAATTTTAACCTAACCAAACGTATTGTTATTAAATTTCATGTCCAATCTATTTATCCAAATGCAGGCGATGAGTCACAATAACGTGGCTGAAGTATGTGGACCAGACCACACACTAGAAGGTGAAGGGATGACGACGTTTCGGTCCGTCCTGGACCATTCTCAAGTCGATTGGGGGGGTCCGGCCGCTGGCCTGCGGTGGGGGTGCAGCGCCGGTCCCCAAGTGTCCCGCTGTCCGCAGCTAATACTTTGCCCAGTCTAGGTGCTAGTAAGCCCTACTTGTAGTCACACCCCCTTCTCCTTATCCATTAGGTCTTTTACGGCCTCTTGGCCGGGTACATTACGTGTTATGTGGTCTCTCACTTATTAGTTATTCTTTGTGTCCTGCCTGTTATATCCTAGTGTTATATAATTACTACACATTTGCACTCGGCCTTAATTCTAGTACCAGTTAACCTTTAGGTTTCTGCAGAATTAGTTTCCATGTCACTATAGGCTAAGGTCTCATACTTACTACGGGTGTACCTTTTAAGTTAAATCTAGTCCTTGGAATTGTTACTGTTAATTCTTACTTTATATATTTACTTTATATATTTACTTTATATATTTTAATATAAACGTTATATATTCCTTAAATTATATTTGAAACTTTGTATATTTACATGTTCAATATTAAGTTTTATATAATATCAACTTTGTTAAGTCTATAATATAAACCGTGTTTAATATAAACTTTATATAATTACTTACTTTATGTGAACTTTATATATTTACATGTTCTGCAGAATTTAATCTTCAATAAACTGTAACGCCCCATACTGCCAGTATCTTTCTCCCCCTGGTCAGAAAATGGTCACTGCTTGCATCACAAGCGGGGATGTTTCTGGCGGGGGAGAAAGAAACAATTGCGCAGCGCGTCCCGCGGCGTTGCGCGGGCAGTTTGGGGCCGTATAAATACGGGCGAACAACGGGGCTCCGCCTCACTCCGCCTGCCCTCGCCGCTGCCCTCGCAAAACCCCACCCTCCCCCCCTTTTTGCAAGCGGCTGCTTTTGTACCCCCGTCATGCTTTGCACAGTTGTCCCGATTGTCTCCCCACTGCATGTGGGAAGGGGGGTGCAGCGCCGGTCCCCAAGTGTCCCGCTGTCCGCAGCTAATACTTTGCCCAGTCTAGGTGCTAGTAAGCCCTACTTGTAGTCACACCCCCTTCTCCTTATCCATTAGGTCTTTTACGGCCTCTTGGCCGGGTACATTACGTGTTATGTGGTCTCTCACTTATTAGTTATTCTTTGTGTCCTGCCTGTTATATCCTAGTGTTATATAATTACTACACATTTGCACTCGGCCTTAATTCTAGTACCAGTTAACCTTTAGGTTTCTGCAGAATTAGTTTCCATGTCACTATAGGCTAAGGTCTCATACTTACTACGGGTGTACCTTTTAAGTTAAATCTAGTCCTTGGAATTGTTACTGTTAATTCTTACTTTATATATTTACTTTATATATTTACTTTATATATTTTAATATAAACGTTATATATTCCTTAAATTATATTTGAAACTTTGTATATTTACATGTTCAATATTAAGTTTTATATAATATCAACTTTGTTAAGTCTATAATATAAACCGTGTTTAATATAAACTTTATATAATTACTTACTTTATGTGAACTTTATATATTTACATGTTCTGCAGAATTTAATCTTCAATAAACTGTAACGCCCCATACTGCCAGTATCTTTCTCCCCCTGGTCAGAAAGACGACGTTTCGGTCCGTCCTGGACCATTCTCAAGTCGATTTCGTACAAGATCAATGAGTACATTCTCAATCGACTTGAGAATGGTCCAGGACAGACCGAAACGTCGTCGTCCCTTCACCTTGTAGTGTGTGGTCTGGTCAGCATATTTATCCAATTTACTCTAATCTCTCCTCTCCAAAGTTGACCAGATCTCACCTGACTCCTCACTGGCGTCACTCACCTCATTGACACCCCTGACGATGGCCTTCATGGTGGCGTTCCGAGGTCCATCTACCGTCTTGCCATCGTCAGTAGGTCCCCATGAGGCCGAGTAGATGTGGATGAGGTTGGGTTCTCGTCCCATGCTGTTTGCTTCAATTAGGTCCGTCATGTATGGCTGGTCCAACATTCGGATACCTGGAAGATGGAACACGTACAATGAGTATGTTCAGATACCTGGAAGGTGGAACACGTACAATGAGTACGTTCAGATACCTGGAAGATGGAACACGTACAATGAGTACGTTCAGATACGTTCAGAAGAGAAAAAGTAGGAGGTGGCATAATTGAAGTACAGAATACAGTTACAGTTCATGTAACTAGCTACAACTAGCATTATTTATATTTTCATACCATTAAATACTTTGCAACTGATTTACCATCACATTGTACAAAGTTGTACTTGCTATCAGCATAAATTAAATTAGTTCTATCCACAATCGACTTGAGAATGGTCCAGGACGGACTGAAACGTCGTCGTCCCTTCACTTTCTAGTGTGGGGTCTGGTCAACTTAGTTCTATCCACTATCAACGTCTACTATAATATCGTTTTTGCTAACAAAATTTATTACTTTGTATATTCTTTCCAACTAAAAAATATCTTCACGTTACTGTATAGTGTATCTTTTCTTAATTTAATCAAATTATAATTTCCACTTCGTCGTCATCTTATTAAATCTCACAAAATCGTCTTTTGCATATTAAAGTGAAAAAAATATATGTACTCAATAAAATGAATACTTAAACATACATCAAACTAAATATGAAAAGACATACAGTACTGTAGTTAGAAATAAATAGTTACAGTGGGGAGTTTAGAAGCACATTATGTACCTTTGGCACTATGTACTCTTCAAAGGGTTGGGAAGAATAAAAGCAGAACTGGAGCTTACCCTATTACGGGCTATTCATGCCCGTGCCACCTCATGGGTAGCTTAATCTTTATCAATCAGCTTACCTGCGACCAGGGAGTTGTAGGCGACGCCTACTCCACACACACCATTGTCCCGGGCGGCCGACACCTCCCCAGCACACCTCGTCCCATGGCTGAAAATTAACGCGGATTAATGATGCTCTTTATAACATGATAAATATATAATGACCTATTTACCAATAATATCACGCTCTCTCTTTCAAATATTACCGTTTTCTGTAGCCGAATGCAATAATGTATTCAATTTGAGAACTCATTGGGATTTACAAATACTCAAACCAAACAAACTGGGGCTAAATTTGTAAAATAATAATTATGTAGAAGCAATGTGGCAGTTTTGTTGAGCCCGTCCTCACAGCAAATCCATTACCATGAGAAACTTTTTCTGAAAGAAGTTGTGAAAACTGAATGCTGTGAAAGACACCTCAATCCACATTTTTTTGGCTAGATTCACATAGAATTCGAACGACAGGACAGTTAAATTCAATTTATCCTCAAACAAACGCTAAGTGCTCGCTAATCCAGCCACTAAACCCCTAATTACGACAGAGAAACCCTTTTACATAGACTAATCAACCCGTCCTCACACCAGGGCCTAGATTCACGAAGCAGTTACGCAAGCACTTACGAACGTGTACATCTTTCCTCAATCTTTGATGGCTTTGGTTACTTTTATTAAACAGTTTACAAGCATGAAAACTTCCCAACTGGGCGGCAGCTTTACAGTCAAGCGTCTGCTGCACCTACCTAGGAGTGAGAGGCAAAGCTCTAGAACTGTCTCGCGTATCTCTAATTGAATACACACAGTACACACGCCCACACACAGGCAGGTACAGGCAAACAATCAATATAGAGCCTGATTCAGGCGTCTGATCACAACAGGCAATAGTGTGGTTAGCGTGTTGCGGGTCAGTGGGGCGCCGCCCTCACCACATCACCAAGAATAAGTGAACTTAGCGCGGGAAAAATCTCCTGTAAGCGGCTGAGCCCGGAGATGACCTATAATTTTCTCCACAGTAATCTTCTTGCATGACTTGGAGAAGGTGGTGCTGCCCCCTTCAGCGGTGGTGTACACACTGCCCTTTGCTCCCAGCCCCTCCCAACTCCACGATCTAATCGGACGTACGGGCGGCTGAATATTACAGCCTGGACTCGACATGTCTAAAAGCCGATAAGCTCCAGTATTTGATGGCGAACCAATACACGTTAACAGCCTCGGAAACTGTACGAGCGGGAGTCGTCGCCTTTCAGTCCCACCCTCACTATCTCCCTCCCGCGGCGCGTCTCACTTGTAATATTTGATTGTGATTATTAGGTCGCTTTGTTTATCCTAACATTGCTCGTATCTATTGCTCTGTAACGCGACGCGCGGGTTTAGCAGTGGTTGACTTGTTGTAAGATGATTTGGAGAGAATTAAATGTAGGCTTAATAGACATACAGCAGTGAATGGGTACCTGGTTGTTCAACGATTTGGCGAGTCGTATTCCGGGGGGGAATTAGGATTAAGGATCTGCCCGGAACGCTATGGGTGCTTGTGGCTGTACAAGAATGTAAGAACTCTTGTATATTTTTTATTTATATATACAAGCCTCATGGTGGAATGGCATATAACCAGTATCCCCTGGGTGTTACAAGTAGCTATCTGTGTCCCCTGGGTGTTACAAGTAGCTATCTGTGTCCCACGGGTGTCACAAGTAACTATCTGTGTCCCATGGGTGTTACAAGTAGCTGTCTGTGTCCCATGGGTGTTACAAGTAGCTATCTGTGTCCCATGGGTGTTACAAGTAGCTATCTGTGTCCCATGGGTGTTTCAAGTAGCTATCTGTGTCCCATGGGTGTTACAAGTAGCTATCTGTGTCCCATGGGTGTTACAAGTAGCTATCTGTGTCCCATGGGTGTTACAAGTAGCTATCTGTGTCCCATGGGTGTTACAAGTAGCTATCTGTGTCCCATGGGTGTTACAAGTAGCTATCTGTGTCCCATGGGTGTTACAAGTAGCTATCTGTGTCCCATGGGTGTTACAAGTAGCTATCTGTGTCCCATGGGTGTTACAAGTAACTATCTGTGTCCCGTGGGTGTTACAAGTAGCTATCTGTGTCCCATGGGTGTTACAAGTAGCTATCTGTGTCCCATGGGTGTTACAAGTAGCTATCTGTGTCCCATGGGTGTTACAAGTAACTATCTGTGTCCCATGGGTGTTACAAGTAGCTATCTGTGTCCCGTGGGTGTTACAAGTAGCTATCTGTGTCCCATGGGTGTTACAAGTAACTATCTGTGTCCCATGGGTGTTACAAGTAGCTATCTGTGTCCCATGGGTGTTACAAGTAGCTATCTGTGTCCCATGGGTGTTACAAGTAGCTATCTGTGTCCCATGGGTGTTACAAGTAGCTATCTGTGTCACATGGGTGTTACAAGTAACTATCTGTGTCCCGTGGGTGTTACAAGTAGCTATCTGTGTCCCATGGGTGTTACAAGTAGCTATCTGTGTCCCGTGGGTGTTACAAGTAACTGTGTCTCCTGGGTGTTACAAGTAACTATCTGTGTCCCACGGGTGTTACAAGTAACTATCTGTGTCCCACGGGTGTTACAAGTAACTATCTGTGTCCCGTGGGTGTTACAAGTAACTGTGTCTCCTGGGTGTTACAAGTAACTATCTGTGTCCCGTGGGTGTTACAAGTAACTGTGTCTCCTGGGTGTTACAAGTAACTATCTGTGTCCCATGGGTGTTACAAGTAACTGTGTCTCCTGGGTGTTACAAGTAGCTATCTGTGTCCCGTGGGTGTTACGCGCAGTGTAGACACTGTGTGTTAAGTCAGTTGTTTAAATCATGTCATAGAACATTTATATACAACATTTACCCAGTAGCAGATATATCAGATGCACACTAGGCGAGGTGTGTCGAATGTGCATATTCCTCTCTTACTTCACCCAGGTATTACAACTCTTAAATAGTTCGATAATGAAGAAAACACCAGATTGAAAATCTGTTTCTTCCTCGCATGTCCAGACTTCCTTTATGGGACGGCAACATGAATGGCGCCTTCGTTTTTACCTGGATCCTCTTCATGTCATTGATGAGAGACTGGAAACTCTTCATCAAAGGATGCATATAATTGAGAGGTGTTGAGAGGGGGAAGAGAACCAGGAAGAGAACCAGGAAGAGAACCAGGAAGAGAACCAGGAAGAGGAGGCGTTCTCTTCCTCCCTACTTATTTCTACCCATCTGAGAGCGATTCACCGGCCCAATCCTTCATACACAAATGGCTAGGGACAGTTTTATCTAGTATGGGATTTATCTGCGTGAAATGCACCTCACGTCGCTGGAAGACAGAAGAGCTCGGGGAGACATGATCACCACATACAAAATTCTCAGGGGAATTGACAGGGGTAGACATATCAGAAGAGTGGAAAACAGAAGAGTAAGGGGAGACATGATAACCACCTACAAAATTCTCAGGGGAATTGACAGGGTGGACAAAGACAAACTCTTCAGCACGGGTGGGACACGAACAAGGGGACACAGGTGGAAACTTAGTACCCAGATGAGCCACAGAGACGTTAGAAAGAATTTTTTCAGTGTCAGAGTAGTTAATAAATGGAATGCACTAGGAAGTGATGTGGTGGAGGCTGACTCCATACACAGTTTCGAATGTAGATATGATAGAGCCCAGTAGGCTCAGGAATCTGTACACCAGTAGATTGACGGTCGAGAGGCGGGACCAAAGAGCGAAAGCTCAACCCTTGCAAGCACAGCTAGGCGAGTATATATGCTGAAACACATGTGAAGAACCTCTCACACACTCACAGCTCCCCGACATGAGAGAGATCCAGCTTAGCTTAGCTGCCAACACCCACCCATCGTATTAGCAAGGCGGACAGTCCGCCTGCAGTCATAACTCTCACTCTATTTCCCATTTCTAAACTTCCCTTCACCTGTGGCTCTCCATCCTCTTTACTCACCCCCCCCCAAAAAAAAAACCGCCTGTAGGCAGCCTTCATCTCTTCACTCCCACACACCATCACTCCCCACCCTTCACCTTCCCCTTCATCACACTCTGTTACCGCTCCACCTTCCGCCTTCGTCATCCCCTCCTCTCCCCTCACCACCATTCTCACACCTGTTAAAAGAACAATGCGAAAAAAAAGAAATCTGGGAGGCGTAAGGGGCCCTCGTGTACAAGTTGGAGCGAGAGAGACCTGGACCTTTTCTCACAAGTTTGCCGGAGTTGAGGAGCAGTTGTGGCGGCCGACCTCGATAGGGTATTGCTTTTTAGTGACGGTGGCCCACTTCACACGAGGATCTAAACGATGGTGCCGTCGACGTCTAGACAACCCACTCGACGGTCTCCCAGGGAAGGCCCCGTCGACGGCTTGACAACTCACACGACCGTCTTCCAGGGAAGGCCCCGTCAACGGCTTGACAACTCACACGACCGTCTCCCAGGGAAGGCCCCGTCAACGGCTTGACAACCCCGTCGACAGATTCTCAGCGACGGTATCCCCCCCCCCCCGCACCATAGACATCCCATACATAAATACCAGTCATCATAATGTTAATATTGGTTCACCTCAGACACGCTTGGAGTGGCGCGGGTTCACCTGCCACAGAAACACAAATATTCTCCTTTTGTACATTACATCTCCCCCCTGAGACAGCTGATTAATGCCGTCATGGCGAAGGTGCCCTGTGATTGGTGGAACGTAGGTGTGGGGACTAACCTGTTAAACCAATCATCGGTGTAGCGAGGGAAGGGGAAGGGGTCGTTACTGCTGAAATCCCAGCTGGCACGAGCGTTCTGGTGGGATGAGAAAGTATTGGAAAATCGATGAGCAGTTTCTTTATGTTCGTATATTATTACCTTTATACACGTTTGTCTTCTGAGCATCCTATTTACCACATTTGTATGAGTTTAATTAGGAGAAGTGTGGTTTAATGTCATTCGGTGAGGATAGTTACCACTCTGGAATCAAATGGGTAGTAGGTGGCTCTGTATTTATCCCCGCCTGTGTGTGTGTGTGTGTGTGTGTGTGTGTGTGTGTGTGTGTGTGTGTGTGTGTGTGTGTGTGTGTGTGTGTGTGTGTGTGTGGTGTGGTGTCAATGCAGCCTGTCAACCTAAGGTGACAACATTAAGAAACTGTCGTGCTAAAATGCCCGTATGCTAAACTACCAGAGGACCCAAAACAGAAAACGGAACAATCATTATTAGGGCTCTTAATTGAATCAATAAATCATTCTGTGCCATACCTGACCTGCACGATCCGCAGTATATGGTGCCCCATAAGGTCATGATCAAATTCACAACTACCATCAAATCTTTAGAGGAAAATCTTGATGCCATTCGATGGGGATCAAACTGACATCCGTGGACTTCCCAGGGGACACGCCACTAATGCACTATTATGAGCCCCAGCGTCTCAGCCCCAAGTACCTCCAGGAGGGCGTTGACTGGGCAGTCGACGGAGACCAGTTCGATCCCATCGAATGGCATCAAGATTCTCCTCAAAGAATTTAATGCTACTCGTGAGCTTCATCATGCCCTTACACAACCTCATATAGATCATGCAGCTCGGGCATGATACCGTGATATAGAATGAACACAATATCTTGGTAAATATTCGTTTAGAAATCGAGTTATAGATTTATGGAATAAGTTACCAGGCAAGACAAGAGCCGTGTGATCGCTGGATTGTTTGAAGGGAGGGAGGGTATATGAGTGGGGGAGGGTGGGTATATCAGTGAGGGGAGGAAGGGTATATGAGTGGGGGAGGGAGGATATATGAGTGGGGGGAGGGAGGGTATATGAGAGGGGGAGGGGTGGGTGTAAACAGGGGCCCCCTTGTGTGGATCAAGAGGTATCTGCAGTGTATTGCTGTGTGATGGTAGTACAGCATATATTGGGTCACGCTGGTAGTCTGATACTTACGTAGTTATTGCGCAGGTCTGGGTGCATGTAGTCGATGCCTGCAAGTAGAGGAACAAGGTGAAGCATACATACTGCTAGGAGGGAGGGAGGTAATCATACATACATACTGCTAGGGAGGGAGGGAAGTTAATCATACATACATACTGCTAGGGAGGGAGGGAGGTAATCATACATACATACTGCTAGGGAGGGAGGGAAGTTAATCATACATACATACTGCTAGGGAGGGAGGGAGGTAATCATACATACATACTGCTAGGGAGGGAGGGAAGTAATCATACATACAGTGAGAGGCGGAGAGAGTGCCAGATTGGAAACGAGGGAAGGTTACAATTCCACTTTGATATATTTTTTTCCTTCATTTACTGTCAATCTGCCTGTCTGTCTGTGCTATCAACTTCCTCCCTGCACACCCATGGCAGTGAGGGGGGAACTGTCTTGGTCCATGCCGCTCTTCTCCCGACCACCATCACTCTCCTCTACATCCATGACTCTCTCTCTCTCATCCAAGAGAGACAAATGACTCTCTTTTGACCATAATCTGTGACCTCTTCTCTCACACTCCTCTTCCAGATGTACACACGTGTTTTCTTGCATCATCAACACAAGAAACATGGCCCTTGAAATTGTGTTTCAAGAGCCACATTAGCTTGACACTTCTGAGGGTTGTAATGGTAGCAGTAACCACTGCGCTCAACCATCAGTGACGCATCCACTAACGAAACCTGTACATCTTTCCTTAGTCATGGCGGTTTAAGTTGTATTTATTTCGAAACGCTGCGAGGTCCTTTTCGACCTGAGGGTTAATAATATTATAGATAACTTCTCAGTGCCTCGGAGCTCACAGATGGAAATCATGAGAAGGGAGCTATCAGGAGAAAGCGCAAACCCACTACGACTATATAGCATTTGAAAGGGGTCAGGATAAGGATTTGGGATTAGACGGGGGAGGGGGAATGGAATGGTGCCCAACCACTTGGACGGTCTGGGGGGGATTGAACACCGACCAGCATGAAGCGAGATCGTCATCGTTGAGAAAAGATGTACAGGTTTCGCGAGTGGACACTAAAGCGCTTGGGCCCCCCCCAGAAGAGGGGGTTCAAATATGCAGGCGATAAGTCACAATAACGTGGCTGAAGAATGTTGACCAGACCACACACTAGAAAATGAAGGGGCGACGACGTTTCGGTCCGTCCTGGACCATTCACAATCGACTTGAAAATGGTCCAGGACGGACCAAAACGTGGTCGTCCCTTCACCTTCTAGTGTGTGGTGTGGTAAACAGGGGTTCACATAGTTACCGTCATCCATGATGGCTGTGGTGACGTTGCGGCCGGTGAAGCCCTGGGCCCAGGCCGCCTCCACGTTGAGGTCCAGGCGCGGCTTCCCACCATTCTGGCCGGTGTTTTTCTGTGGGGGTATGAACATGATCAGCGAGGGTCAGAGGTGTGTGGCTAGCCGCTCACGGAGGGGCCCCTCGTCTGCCTCCCCGCTCTCCCTCACTCCTACCCGAGGAAAGGAGACCTTTGTGCGCTGGCAAGAATGGAAACTTTCTAACGTCTTAAAAGGAGCCTACTTCAGTAAGATCCAAAATCTGAGCCGGAATAATGACACCATGGTCACGTCACACAAACACGGAGGTGCAGGCTACGCACGCACGCACGCACACGCACACACGCACACGCGCACACACACACACACACACACACACACACACACACACACACACACACACACACACACACACACACACCATAGTCACCTCTTGTATTCAGCCCTTTTTCCAGACCAGGAATCACCATCCTTTCCCATCATACCGTACAATTTGTGTCCCCTTTCCATTATTACAGGTAATCCCTCATTTTTCCTTTCCCCATGGCGCATCCTATCCCGTCACCCCTCAAGATACCTTCCCTTCCATTTAACCCATTTATGTTGCCACTTTCCCCCTCCTTCAGTCTTTCCTGCCACCTTTCCATCTTCCTCTATTCATCAGGTCCTCTTCTAGCATTCGTGTGCCCAAGCTGTTTCACTGCGCAAGATGGGGAAGCTACCAGGGGAAGGCGCCAAGCCATTACGACTATATAGCACTTGGAAGGGATCAGGATAAGAGTTCGGGATGACATGTATAGTGAATTAGCTCCCACCGCCATGCTGGCTATCATGTTTCACTGTGCATGGTGTAGTGGTGGTGTGTGTGTGTGTGTGTGTGTGTGGGGGGGGGGGGAACTGCAGTGTCACGCTCGTCCATTTCAATTATCTGACCTCTATCGCGCACCGGAGCTATCAGCCATTTCTCAAGCCATTATCCATTATGTCCTAAAATATCCTTCGGCTACACTTCTATTTGTCTGTAATTTCTCTCGTGGGTTAAAACTTTATCCCCCTTTATCTTCCAGTCATTTTTCTCACGCCTTTTGCTTTTCTCTTTGTCCGTTTGTCTCATCTCTTCACCATCATCTCATCCTCAACCGTATTCCAAAATTTGCCGTTATTTCTCAAAGCAATTTGACCTCCAGATAATATTCCCCCCTCTCTTCCTTATTTCCAATACTTCTCCATACAAGTATTTCTCCTCCATACCAATACTTCTCCATACAAGTATTTCTCCTCCATACCAATACTTCTCCATACAAGTATTTCTCCTCCATACCAATACTTCTCCATACAAGTATTTCTCCTCCATACCAATACTTCTCCATACCAATAACTCTCCACATCAATATTTCTCTCCTATACTAATTTTTCCTCCAGCGACACTAATCCAATTTGTACTCGTGCCTCTACAAATTGCAGTAATAATCCAATCATACAATTTCCAGTAATTTTGGTCCACGTTTTCACTGGGTTTGAAAAAAATATAAATAATGACTGGGCAAATTCGAAATGAACGAGATATGGTACAGCGTTGGTGAGGCCAGTGTTGGTGAGGCCAGTGTTGGTGAGGCCAGTGTTGGTGTGGCCAGCGTTGGTGAGGCCAGTGTTGGTGAGGCCAGTGTTGGTGAGGCCAGTGTTGGTGTGGCCAGTGTTGGTGTGGCCAGTGTTGGTGAGGCCAGTGTTGGTGAGGCCAGCGAGTGTGTGTGTGTGTGTGTGTGTGTGTGTGTGTGTGTGTGTGTGTGTGAGTAAAATATAGTAGCAGGTAAAATAGAGGAAAAACACATTGGTTAGAAAGGCGGGGTCCAAGAGCTAATAGCTCGATTCTACAGACACAAATACAACAAACACACACACACACACACACACACATACACACACACACACACACACACACACACACACACACACACACACACACACAACGCTAGATAAATAATTACCCAAAACATTAGAGAAAGTGCCGAGGTGTCACAATACACCCGAGACCATTCACACACGCCTGTAGACCCACAAAACCTCGTAACAGGCACAACTTTCATGAAAACCAGCCATATATATTACCCGGAAAACTTTCTGGGGGCCGTAAATTCACCCGAGGAGGTGACCCTTATAAAATAAGTCTTTCCAATTTGCCCAAAAGCGTCGTTTCGTGCATCTTATCTTTCCCTATCGCAAAATTCGAGCCGCCTCGGTGATATTTGCCCGCTCGTTCATCTCCACTTCGGGAGACCCGCTAAAAAACGTCGGCAATGGAAATAGAAAATACAATAAAAAAAGGTGGAAAAGGATGAGAGATATTGAGGAAACACAGCGGGCAGTCCAGGCCGGGGTCAGCGCCCCCTTTCTCTCCCACGTCTTTATCCATCGTGTGTGTGTGTGTGTGTGTGTGTGTGTGTGTGTGTGTGTGTGTGTGTGTGTGTGTGTGTGTGTGTGTGTGTCAGGGGGAAGTTGTGGTGGCAGAACGTTAGGATGACTGTGGAGGGGGGAGGGGTGTCAGCAAGGAATACGATCGTGCAGAGAAAAATATAGTTTTATTAAGTCAAATCACCTGAAACATTTAGAAATGTACAAGCACATACAATCACACACACACACACACACACACACATACACACACACACACACGCACAAAGTTATGCTAGCACACACACACATACACACACACACACACACACGCACAAAGTTATGCTAGCACACACACCTACACTACTAGCAACGCAGAATCAAAGAATACAAATGCTGCTTGACGCATATAATACAACTTATCAACAGGACGAGAAACATCAGTTAGGAGTGGGAAATTCTCATTTCCTTGTGGTGCCTTCACATACCGTACTTAGATGGACACACACAGTCTTGATACTGTCGCAATAGGCACTGTCGTACAAGCTACAAAAGCAGACTGAATTGACTGGAAGAGCACTAAACTGGATGAAAGAATACTTAACATATTACAGTTAGAATGTGATGGGGAAAAGTGCTACTATAAATAATGGAGTCATGTGAAAACCACATTTTTACGTATTACATGGTTCCCAATGTAAGTAAATGCTGAAGCTGTAAATTGGTTTAAAGTTCACGTTCTGTGATAATGAAACACTTGTTTACTGAGAATTATACTACTGTATAATATAATGTAGTATTGCCTTGTAAAATTTATGTATATATGACTTATATTGTATTTTATTAAAGATAAAAAATCAGTGGACTGAGTTTAACATATTACCGATGTCTAAAAGGAAGGTTACAGGAGCAAAGCCTCAACTAAGGTAAACACAGATATATTAAAACCGCTACGCAAGAGAACACACAACCAATGAAAACACCGTTTTTTTTTAATATGTCCAACCAATTGATCGGTCATACTCTATCCTTTAGTGAAGAAGTAGAGTATCTCACGTCCAGAATTAGTCTTCAGAATGTCGTCCTCAGAAGTTAGGAAAATATCTGTCTGTGGAAATACCCTCATGAATAATTTCGTATCCTGATATCGCCAGACAAAATACATCAGCCGAAAACAGCGGCATAAAATTGAGGTGTTGACAGCTGCCAGCCGATGTATGGAGACGAAGGTCCCCTGCCAAAAAAAAAAACAAGTAATTATCGTGCCACATATAGCCTAGTAATCGTCGCCCTGAATGGCTGTCTAACGACCAATCAGCGAGGCTTGTGAGCTGCGTGTGGCGCGAGCAGTGTAACAGTCAGTCAATGACGCCGCCAAGCAGCCAGTCGGCCAGTCTTGCCTACACGCCAGTTTGTTTCCCTCTTATGCTTTGCTTGTGACAGTTAAAACGCCAACTATAAGCTCCCGGAGCAGCTACAGATAAAGTTGGGTGACAGTCAAAATACGGAGTTTATCTCCTTCTCTCTTCTACCTCTCCTCGTCTCACTCTCCTTTACCTCCTTCACGTCCCTTTCTCTCCTTCCCTTGCACTGAAATGAAGTCCATAGAGTTTTGCAAGTAAATACGAGAGGAAACATAAGGAAAAATAGTGTATTATTATTCAAGACTTGTGAGCTAGTCCTCGAGGCTGCCAGCCCCTTTAGGTAAGCACTCTCACAAATCAGGCAAGTCTTCCCACGACTATGGCGCAGTTTTTGTGTTATTGTATTCACTCTCAATCCCGCACGCCGCCCATTCTTCACTCTAGACACGTTCGGCGTCACTCTAGCGGCGGCAGTGATGGCGGAGGACATTCTGGACAAGTCCCCGCCACTGTTCACAGTGTCCCCGGAGCTTGGTCAGCAGATCAGCGCTGATCCAGCGTTGATCATCTGGCCTTTCCCATGACCCCGGCACGAGGCTAGCTGGCCGGGCGCTGCCCCCCCAGCACTCACTCCCGTCTCTCTATTGCCTTTTAAAAGAACTTCAGACAAACTCTTGTTCTTTCTGACAAACTTTTGGGTCGAACCAACTCCGCTGTGACGGACACAATGCTCTTAAAGCCTTTATTAAAAATCTAAATTCAAACTTGTAAACTTTGTAACTCAACCTTATGTAATATTCGTATAAATAATAATTATAATTATTATCATTATTTATACGAAAATATAATTATTATTATGTAAATGACCTGTCCGGTCTTCTCTCGACCAACTTTGACGACTCGGGCCATTGTTACAGCGGACAAAATACGGGATATTAACCCAAGCCACCTAGCTAGCCTAACCTAACCCCAGCCACCCACCTAGCCTAACCTACCCTAACCCAAACCACCCACCTAGCCTAACCCAAACCACCCACCTAGCCTAACCCAAGCCATCCACCTAGCCTAACCTACCCTAACCCAAGCCACCCACCTAGCCTAACCTACCCTAACCCAAGCCACCCACCTAGCCTAACCTACCCTAACCCAAGCCACCCACCTAGCCTAACTTACCCTAACCCAAGCCACCCACCTAGCCTAACCTAACCTAACCCAAGCCACCCACCTAACCTAACCAACCAATAGAAACCAAAGGTGCTTGAGAGCCGATACTTCTCATAATATTTTGTACATTTGGAACTATAGCGTAAAGAATACTGTATATTA